ATGTAGGTTTCTTTCCAGTTCCAGGAGAATACAAAGTAGAGTCCTGTAATCTGTTATTTTGTTTTGTTTTCTATTGTTTGTTTGGGAGATGGTTTCTGTGTAGCCCTGGTTATCCTGGAACTCTCTCTGTAGACCAGCTTGGCCTGGAACTCAAGAGATCCACCTGCCCCTGCCTCCAAGTACTGGGATTAAAGGCAGAGAATGCCACCACTCCAGTTTGTTTGTTTTTGTTTGTTTTTTAAAGAGTACAGTAATGTAACTCAAATTCTGATTAATTACCTCTGTTACACAGACCTCATAGGTTAAGGGTTCATGTCCATAAACTGTCCCTCACACACAATCGCACTTAAGACAGTCACACTATTGGTTTCCCAGGTCAGCCACACTTCCTCCAACTGGTCTACCAATCTATAATCACGGACTCTCCTCAGGCTTAGTAACAGGCTCACTGACTCAGGGAAATGCCTTTTTATGCTGATTGTAAAGACAGGATAAAGAATAAAACTGAGCTTGGGGTGGTGTTGCATACTTTTGATCCCAGCAGAGGCAGGCAGATCTCTGTAAACTCCAGGCTTCCAGGACAGCCTGATCTACATAGCAAGTTCCAGGCCACCCAAAGATACAACAGTGAGACTTATCTCAAAAGACAGACAGAATATAAATAATATAGATGAACAGGGAATAAAGAAGTGTAAGGTTCAACCTGGAAACAGGACCAAGGAAATTCCTCCTCTCTCCAGACCTCCCACCCTTCAAATATTCAGGTTTTCCAAACCCCATGGGTTAGGGTTTTATGAGGGCTCCATTATGGAGGCAGTGTAATCAGACCACCGGATTATCTCTAACCTCCTTCATTTCTCAGAAGTCAAAGGTGCTGAGGAAGTTTCAACTCTGAGCTCAGCAGTGAAGCCTCAGGCACCCTGCTCCCATCCCTGAAGCTATCATGAGGCTCAGAAATGTACAAAAGTGTTCAACCCAGAAATCTCAAGAAATTTTACAACTTCCAGGGTCAGAAAAAGGGAGAAGATGCACTCCTTTTCTTATGTTTTCTTAGGATGAGTGGACGTGAAAAGCGGGAATTAAATGTATAAATAAGCCTGGTGGGAGTTCTAAGCCAACCTTGACATAGCTAATGTCAAGGCCATCCAGAGGTATATATTGAGTTCCTCTCAATAAATAAATAAATAAATAAATAAATAACACAGGTGACACAGGATATATACAATGAATGGAACAGAGGAGCAGAAACTACTAACAAAAGATGAAAAGGTTAGCTAACAAGCAAATTAATAATAGTAATAATACATTCACTTAAAGACTCAAATTAAAATTCACAATAAACTAACCACAATCACTATCTACACGCCTGAGGCATTCCTTCACTCAAACCATTTGTTTCCTGCCATCAGCATTTCTAGTGGTTTGTTCTGTTCTGTTCTGTTTTGTCTGTATAGACTCTGTCCTCTAGGTGTGACTTTCCTGGAACTCACTCTGTAGACCAGCTGGCCTCGAATTCACAGAGATCCACCTGCCTCTGCCTCCCAAATGCTGGGATTAAAGGTGTGCACCATTGCAGCCTACTGAATCAGCATCTCTTGCTCTCTTTCTCTCCGGTGACTCTGAGATTTATCTCTGCCTTTAGAATACAAGAAGAGGTCTATCCTAATGTTGTCAGACATTTCCTGGTTTGCAACCACCTTGGCTCTTCTCTTTCTCCATCAAGCTGAATGTGATCACCCATCAATCATACATCTATTTTATCCATCATGTCAACAACTCAAAAACAAGGCATAATAAACAAAATGAAGTATGTCCATTATAACACAGAGCAATCACACCATAACACTATAATAGTATGTGTATATTTTCTTATTCTGTTAAAGTAATAAAACATAGTGAAATTATCCCAGTGCTTTCATGAGCATTTAAAACCTACAAAGCCAGGCATGACAGCACATGCTTATATTCCCGGTATATGAGAGGGTGAGGCAGAAGGATTTCCATAATTTCAAGACTAGTCTGAGCAAATCTGTACTCTAAAATGATGATCTTTTTTTTTTTTTTTTTGTCTTTAGGCACTTTTAAGCCTGCCTGTGGTCAATGGTACTCTCTTCAACATCAACTTGTCTCCAATAAGTGGAGCCAGCTACAGTCATTTCTAGGGTTAGAAATAACTTCTATCATTCTGAGAAACATCACAGAATGTACACAAACCAAGATGCCTTCCACTTCAGTAGGCAAGATTTTGGTGGGACCATAGTTACATACATAGCCGATTTAAATGATGTCATGTGGCCCTGAGTGCCACCAAACAAACTCTATACATTTATCAAAAACACTCAACAGGAATTTTTCTTAATCTACTATTTGTTGCTACATAGCAATGCACACAACTGCGTAAAACTGCCTTTAAGAAGCCAAATGTAACATCTGTGTAATTTCTGGTGCTTTCTGAAGTACTGTTTCCACACATAGGGTAGCCCATGGAGTCCAGGCATGAAGCAGAAATGAATCAAGTTTCAGAAAACATCACCACGTTCCAAAAATAAAGAAAAGAAATTAGATAATGGTCTGGAAATTGTTCCCTCCTCTAATAACCTCAGCTGCCACTTGCCCTCCTTCTGCTGCCCCAACTAAAAGGGTAAAACACTGGATAAAACACATGTATGACATATGAGAACTAAGTTACCTGGCTAGTCGTATTCTTTTCCCAAAATTTGCTTTTTCAATACAAAAAGAACATAGGAGGAAGGACACTGACATTTTAGAATTTATAGCCTCTGGGTCATATTACTAGTGACTATAGACCTGTTTATATATTAGTAAGCACATTTTGCCCATGAGACCTAGTGAGTTTGAACATGTTCCCTAAGGCCAAAGCTTTCTGTTTCCTAGACTTAGATACACTCTTCCAGTTTAGTCACTGATTGAGAAAACATTTGTGGGAGTGTATAACCAACCAGCTATATGCCGGGTGCTATACTTCAGGTGCTAGGGCCCTCCAAGTGGGTAAGACACACCAAACCCCAGTCAAAACCTGCATCCTGGAGATGGACAGGACATAAAGGACCACAGTGGATAATGTAAGGGTTGTATCCGTTTGCCAATATGATTTATCCACAGTGGTCATCAAATCTTTCTGATTGTCTATAAAGCACATCAGTTACAAGAACTCAGCAGACGGCCATGATATCCACTAGATAACTGCTAACTCTGTGTCCTTCTCAGTAACAGTGAACCAGGAAACTGCCTTGCCATGCTGCCTAGAATGGCTTTATTTTTAAAGCGACTGTGTGAGCTCTCAGAATGCGCAGTTCCAACAATTTTGTCTTTCATCCCAAATTCTATCTCTTTTCCATTATTCACTGAGGTGAACGGTTAAACTGCTAAAATAAAGGAAGTGTGGTCATTTGACTAAAGTTCCTATGAGAACCATGAAGAGATTTCAACACAACGCTAAGGCCCCAGAGACAGCACATGCTCTCATTGGGCAAAGGCATCCAGGCCTCATATGCTGATCATACCTACCAAAAGGTCTCTGGTCCCAGAGTAGCCATTCCCTTCAAAAAAAGAAACTCCAAGACTCTAAAGTTTAGAAAACATGCAAAATACAAAGTTCCGTTTTAAGCAAAGAGGACATTAATTTACCAACTTCCTTCTCTCGCCTAATTGTCCAAATTGACAAATGTAGCTCTTGGCTGTTTCTGTAGCAACCCCCTGAGGTATTTACGTCTTGTGTCACTTGGATGACCCAAGTTCGTGAGAACTTGGGTCGGTTGAGGAAGGCTGTTTCAGGAGTACATATATCTTCACACGGGGTGAAGGAGGGTCTAGGGACCATCACCTGCTTACAGCCTTACAGCCGCAGCAGCACTCGGCAAACTTTCTTTGCCAAGAAGAACCAGTGGTTTCTTGGAGAGCGGAGGCTGTTGTCGGTGTACTTGCATTTCCTCCTAGGCTAGTCACACCCTAGCAACCCAAGTTTCTCAAAGAAAGCCCTCACCTCTCTCCCTTCCAGATGGGTCTCCCCCCCCCCCCAGCCTCACCTCAGAAGGAAACAGAAATCCTCCTCCCCAGACTAGCCACATTCACAAGTTAAAAGTTTGCATAAAGTTTCAGGGATGCGAGGACGCCCTGCCTCTTGCTAGGTGAAGTGTATCACAAACGTATCCCAGCCCGGTCTAACCCTGAATGAAAACTGTGCACCCCTTCCGTGGGTGAGAACAAATTCTCAACCTTCCCCCCGTTTCCCGCCACCACCTCCACCGCCACCACCTCCACCTCCGCCTCCGCCCCACCGCAGCCCCCCAGAGTCGCACAAGTCAGAGAGGGATCACTTCCCCTAGAAGCCGGGGCGGAGGAGCAGCTCGCCAGGACGCACACACCTGAGATCGGTCGTCACGCGCGAGGGGGACGGCGGACCGGAGCTCCGGGATCCTCCAGGCAGGGCGGAGTCGGCCTCGCCGAGAACCGGAGTAGCCGGGAGCTCGCGGCGAGCGCGCCGGGATGTCACCGGGTCAGGCGGGGCCACGGTAACCCGACCAGCCCGCCGCCGCCGCCCGCCCCTCCCGGCCACTTCCTCCTCCCCCTAGCCAGCCTCCGCCTCCCCGGCGTGGGGGGGGAGGGGGATGACCCCGCGGCTCCGCCACCGCCTGCGCGGCGACACCGCGGCCCCAGCTCCGCAGCCCGGCGGGGAGACGCGGAAGTGCAGCCGGCGTGCGTGCGGGCCGGGAAGGGCGGCTGCAGCTCCGCGCTCTGGGCCTCGCTGGAGAGGGCATCTGAGCCGCCTGGCCCTGCCCGGGGTCGATCCTGCCCTGCGCCCTGGAGGAGCGGTACTCCATTCCCCGCCACGTCCAGCCAGCTGGAGGAAAGAGCGGAGGGCTGAGCTAGGCCGGGGAAGCCGGTGTCGGGTTCCTGACCCTCCCCCACGCGGGCCACCCCTGCCAATCTGCCCAGGGAGAGGACGTTCTCCCGCCTGCTGCCCGCTGGGGTTGCCTCACCTAATCACGCGTCGCGCGCCCCCGGATCCGGTGTCCTCTCCTCCGCAACCTCCTAGTCGCCGGGCTGCCCGGGGCCTAGAAAGGCGTCTAGGAGTCGGGGGCCCCTGGGGACCCGGCCTGCAGCTCACGGCCCGGCTACTCCAGTGCGTTCCGCGGGCGCTCCAGGCCTCTTGACCCCGGGGACCCGCGGAGAAGAGTAACCCCAATCAGCAGAGGGGTGGGATGCTGAGCACTGGCCCAGCAGGCCCAGCCTCGTACAGGTGGGGGGAGGCGGGAGCCCTGGCTGCGGTACCAGCGGCTTCCTACTTGCACCCCCTCCCAACTCGACCCTGCCCACTGAGCATGCCCAGCTTACTTGTTGCAACTACAAGGGGTAGGCAAACCCAAGGGTACCCAAGGAGGGCTCAGGTTGGGTTCCAAAAGAACCCCACTTTTTAAGACTTTACATCCTGAGATCGCGGTGTTGGAAAAAGCGCATGGAGTGATCCAAAAAGCTCCTCAAGCCAAGTTAGTTTGAATGAAATTGTGGCATTGTTTAGTAATCAATTACTAAGTCGCTTATTTAGTATTCTTAAACACCCAGAATTCCAACAGTTAACTCACAGAAATGGGTAGGATCCCAAACTCAAAGTGACTTCTGGGAGCCAAACACACTCTCTAAAGACAAACAACTATTTGCTGGCCCTGGACACGTTAAAATTTAATAACTAAGAATTATCAAGACCAAGCTCCTACCGCTATACCACGGAGTGAATTTGAAACCAGTCTGGAAACCCTTAGCATTTAAAATGTGCCTTTCCCAGTACAGCTACGCTGCCTCGGCGCAGCGTCGTCTTGAGAACTTGACAGAAATGCAAATTTTCTGAGCTGGAGACTACCTGTGCCACACCCCTGAGGCTGAGATTCAGACCTAACCGACCCTTCCAGAGATCGGCCTTCACACTACGGGTTGAGAACCAGTGATATAGCTCAGTCCCGAGATGGTTCTGGTTTGAGAACCCTAGATTTTCAGTTTTCCCGTTTTTCAGACCCCAAACAGTTACCGAGAAGTTCAATGTGTTTCTCAGCAAAGAAGGAGAATGGAATCAGCTGTCTTTTCTTCAACGAATTCACTTAGAAGAGTTCAGTTCCTGAAAAACGGAAAACAGTCCATCATTCACTTTTGTACTTGGGTGCCTATAAAAGAGGTTTAAGTGTGTGTTGATTTTAAATGAATGCATAAGTGGACTGTTTGTTCCAGGCTCTACTATGTCCTCAAGTCCTCCCCTGACCTTGCTAACTAACTACTCCACCCACAGAGATTTAGCTCCCATAAGAAACCCAGGCGCACCCCTCAGACCCTGGCCCTAACACCGATGAGAGAGGAAATACAGAAAAATCAGAAGCAATGGCATTGCACTGAACAAAGACGGGCCCCAAATCGATAAAGATCAAAACGATAAGAAGGATTCATCCACAGCCCAAAAGCAAAAAGTTGTGTGTGATGGGAGCTAGGTAAAGAGCCAGGAGACCACCCTGAAAAGACCACATTTTATCGTGTCCTCTTTGTCAAAACCACTGCGTTTTCGCGTTCTTCATCTCATCTCCACCAGAATACAAAGAATAAAAATCAAGAGGAAAATGTTTCACAGCATATATCTTTGTGAATCAAAACTACTGCTAACTTCTGTCTATTCAGATAATAACTAACAAAAAACAAATAAACAAACAAAACAGCACCTCTTTAATCCCAGCTCCCTGGAGAGAGAGAGGATATTCATGACTTAAGATCAACATGGTCTACATAGCGAGTTCCAGGACAGCCAGAGCTACAGTGAGGCATGTCTGAAAAAAAGGGGATAGGGGAGGGGAGAGAAAGCTGTCATATTTAAAACTTTAAAAGGTTTAAGGTAACTAATTTTAAAAAAAAATCTCACAGAAGGGGACAGGACCTCTGTAAGGAGACCGACAGAGCTAAAAAACCTGGACCCACAAAAATTTGGTTCTACAGAGACTGATGAATCAACCAAGGACCATGCATGGAGAGGACCTAGCTAGAGCCCTGCTTAGATGTAGCCCATGAGCAGCTCGGTCTCTATAGGTGTCCTAATAAGGGGAGCAGGGGTAGTCTCTGGCATGAACGTTGATTACCTCCCCCTGGTGAGGGAAAGAGGATCCAGACAATCCTAATGAGACCTACCAGGCTAGGGTCAGATAGTAGGGAAGGAGGACCTCCCCTATCAGTGGACTAGGGGAGGAGTATAGGGGGTAAAGAGGGAGGGAGGGTGAAACAGGGAGGAGATGAGGGAGTGGGCTACATCCAGGATACAAACTGAATAAACTGTGATTAATAATAATGTAGAAAACAGTCAAAAAATGATTGGTTTAATTCATTCTCTTATGTTTTTTTTTTCAAAGTGTCTAATAAAAGTGTTTTTGTGTTTCTATTTCTAAAAAAAAAAAAAAATCCCACAGAAACTTATAAAATCAAAACATTCTTTACTATTCTTTTCTTACTCTTTTAATTTTTGTTTGGTTAGTTGGTTCCTTTCTTGAGACTGGGTCTCTCTATATAGCTCTGGCTCTCCTGGAACTCACTATGTAGATCAGGCTGGCCTAGAACTCACAGAGATCTTATTGCCTCAGCCTCACACATGCTTGAGATTAAAGGCCTGTGCTACCATACCCAGTTCCTTCAATATTTTCTGAGAGGCAGAAAAAATATAAAACCATTTTCCCTTCTCAGTCTAATGTGTAATACTTTAAATTGTTGTCAAGGCTGTTGTTTGTGAGTACTTGATTTGGCATCTGTTCAACCTTCTTTTCTCTGCCCAGATGTACTGTTCTTATGATACAAACTCCACAGAAAGAATTTGCTTGAGGACTGGAATTCTAACAGGATCACAATTTCCCAGATGCCTAAGCAAGCCCGGGCATAGTGGTGCACGCCTGCAATCCCAGCACTCACAGAGGCAGAGGCAGGTATATTTCTGTGAGTTCGAGGCCAGCCTGGTCTACAAAATGAATACAGACAGCCAAGGCTACACAGAGAAACCCTGTCTCTGAAAAAAAAAAAATGCCTAAGGAAGTTCTTATAATGAAAAGAACTACACAGGGAATGAGAGGATCCTTACTAGTTTAGGAATCACTCTTTGCAACCTACAAACAACATTCTCATTAGAAGAAAAATGTTTAAGAAGGTGGAGATACGGCTCAGTGATTAATACCTGCTGCTTTTCCAGAGGACCATGGTTCAGTTCCCACACCCCCATGGTGGCTCACAACCCTCTGTTGCTCCAGCTCCAAGGAATTCAACATCTCTGGCCTCTGAGGACACCCACATGCACACATCCACAATTTACACAACTACTACTAATAATAAAAAGTGTTTTTTTGTTTGTTTTTACATCCAACACTTTCTGCTGCTACTCTCTGGTCATGGAATTCAAACAAGAAAGCAAGTTTAGGGATGGGGGGGGGCAAGCGGGTACTGAGAAGGAAGCGCTGATCTTTGCCAGATTTGAAAAGATACCATAGTTTCTGCAGCAGAAGGCATCTCAGACCAGCACCTTGGGAAGTTGAAGTCTGACCCGTTTCTCCTTGTCATCATGAGCATGGCTAAGCATTTTGAAAGCAGCTGTGTTTTCTGACTTACACAGTGGTGGTGTCAAACAACTTTGGTGCCACCTAACATTTCTTAACACTCCAAAGAAAAAAGGTATAAGCCTGTAGTTCCAGCTACTTGGAAGGCTGAAGCAGGAAGAGCACAAGGTCAAGAGCTGCCTAAGCTACAGAGGGGATATAAGGCCATGCTGGATGGCTTAGCCACACTACATCTCAATTTTTCAAAAAACAAAAAAGACCCAAGGTTATATCATTCAGCAGCAATGCATCTGCCTACCTGCCTAGAACCAAGCCCTAGGTTTGGTCCCCAGTACTATTCAGAAGGACAGAAAGAAAGGGAGAAGGCAGCTCCAAACTCTCATAGATTTTCACCCTGAGATGTCTACCCAACTCTGAAAAGCTATCCTCTCTCCACATCTATAGGAACAAAGTCCAGTTTCCCTACAATTTGTTTTGCATTTATATCATCAGTCAATTTATGCTATTGGATATACATTCCCATGGAACAAAATAAATGAGATTTTTTTTTCTCTTTCCAAAATCTAGAGAATATACAAGTTCTGCTATAATCTTAAACCCAGTTTCTGAGATGGGGGACACTTTTTCAAATACCTGTGGAGGGCCCACTACTACTATTAATGAACCAAGTTTGTTTTGTTTTCTTTTGTTTTCCTACCACATAGTATACTAATCCCAGAAACAACACTTTTTACAAAGCAGAAACGTTCAGTTACAAGGTGGCCAGGGGTGGTGGGGAGATTCAAGTCTCAAATCTAATTCCCTTAAGGACATGGGATTTGAAGAAATTTATGGGATGAAGAAGCAAAGTGTTATGGAGGCTAGAACTCGGGGAACAGTTTGTAGAGATTAAGTGAACAGATCTACACTTGTGTAATTGAACATCATGGCTGTCCGTGGGGCATGTGCACAAGCAATGGCAATCTTAGCACTACCTGAAGATCTTGAAACTCCTAGAAAAAGCTGTCATCCGTCTGTACCAGACATACTAGTGCATGCCTGTCATCTCAGTGCCCAGGAAAACAAAGCAGGAAGATTTCAAATTTGAGAGCACTATGGGCTGCATAGTGAGACATGAAATCCTGTCCAAAAGAAAAAAAAAAAAAAAAAGAAACTTTGTAATGAATAGTCTTAATGTTCAGCATGACAGCACTTAGAATCACCAAGGCCGACTTTCTGAGCATATCTGGGAAGATATTTATAAGGCTATGGTGTTTCAAATGAAAATGGCCCTCATAGACTCATAGACGGTAGCACTCGTAGAAGGTGTGGCCTTGCTGGAGAAACTATGTCACTGAGGGTGGGCTTTGAGGTTTCAGAAGTTCAAGCCAGGCCTAGTGTCATTCTCTCTTCCTGCTGCCTGCCAACCCAGATGTAGAACTCTTGCCTCCTGCTACTGAGCCATATCTGCCTGCATGCCACCATGCTTCCTGTCTTGAGGAAGATGGATTAAATCTCTGAACTGTAAACCAGTCCCAATTAAATGCTTGCCTTTATAAGAGCTGCTGTGGTCACAGTGGCTCTCCACAGCAATAGAAACCCTAATTAAGACAGCAGCTTAACCTGTGAGCCAAAAACACACTTCCTTCCTGAAGATACTGTTGCCAAGTGTTTTGCCACAGTAACAAAAGTGACTAGCAAGTTCAGCTGCCCATCAGACACCCTCACAGGGAAGTGAAGAGCTAGTGTTCTCAACCAAAGCAGCTTTGCAA